CCGGTCGCCTCTGAGAGAGGAGAGTACAGGGAGGTTACCCGGACGCCTGAGGAAGCTCGGAGAGGATTGCTTAGTACTTCTGGTGGTATGGAGAGATCAGCTGGACTATCCGCCAGTCGCGTACCAGGAGAAGTGCAGATGGACTCTCCGATCATACGCGTATCACTTAAATATTGTGATAGGAGAGTACGAGAGCTATACCTGGGTCGCTCCTGGAATGGAAAGAACGGTTGCACTATCCGCCGGACGCCTTCCAGAGAGTAGAGTACAGGAGGCTCACCGGACGTCCTTGCCACAGTAATTGTTATGAATCGTTTTATCCGTTTCGGTAATATTGTAACGGAAGAGTACGGCTGCTTAAAGCCGGACGCCCGAAAGCAAAAGCAACAGCTCGAACACTGCATTCATTTGTTCGAAATTATTTTGTACCAAACATTTAACATGTATCGACGAAAGATAAATAAACTTTTGTGCGTTTATAACCGCACGTTATTTTCTCTGCGAATTCTGTGTTTAGAAATGATTTTAAACTAACATAGCGTTTCTATGCTACAGTTCAACTTAATTTACTTATTCGTGTTAATTATATACGGTAAATTATAATTTCCTTCGTCTTACCATACAGTGTATTTATAATTCTCCCTGCATTTTCGAAATTCAAAACAACAAAATCAATAGCTCTTCATTTTCGAAATAATTTATCACAGATTTGCAGGTATAAGAAAATATCATTTTCCTTTTTATCGGCACATAGGTACGATCAGCGGAGCATGTGTTACAAGAACTAGCATGGGGGAGTCCTGAGAGATTTTGGTTATTACATCGAGGTGGTTTTACTCCTGCAATGAAGTGTGGTCCAACGTATCCAGAAACAGGAAAATTGAGGATTCGGTTAACCACATCCGGCGAGGAACTTCTTGTCGACGAAGAAGACGTTGAAAAGGTACTCCTTGCTCAGATTTCTCTAACATTATATTAATGTAAATCAGTATTAAAAATAATTTAACATCGTATTAATCAAATCTCTTTAATATAATATTAAAAATAAATATATGAAGCACTATGTACACTATGATACATACTGCTAATACTTAACATACAATCAAGCAACATTTTAATTAACTAGGTAACTCTTTAACTTTTAAACTTTTTCGTTAAAATTAATCATATTAAAATTACATTTGCAATTTTATATAGATTCACATGCATATATAAAATCGTTGGTTGTGTTAATAGTTTTTACTAAACACATAATCATTTCCAAAATGTTAACGTTACTATTAGCAGCCAAATTACCTTAATTTATAAAAGATCGATTATTGTTGTAATTAACAATGTTTAAGAAAAAGAAATGTAGAAATGTATTCGCATTATTTTTAGCATATGCAGATGGGTGATTTCGTCAAATAGGTTAAAAGAAATCAGTCGTTCGTTTCTTTTTTTACAGGCCAATCCCCCGTACCGTGACAAGGCCGAGGAACTCTCACAATTATGCTTTCTTAATGAATCTTCTGTTCTGCACACACTGAGACAACGTTACGCTAGCAATTTAATTCACACTTACGCGGGGGATAGCATGATCATTATCAATCCGGTGGCGCCATTAGCGATTTACTCGGAAAAGGCAAGTGATGTTTACAAATTTTCTTATCCTTTTCTCCCCGTTGAAGAAAAGTTGTTCGATGTAAACGAGGTAATAAATTCAAAATGCTTGTTTTTCATCGATAGTGGTGTAAGTATAATTCAAATAGACGTTACAGGATTACCTTTTGGTATTGTGTTATTTTCCGAACGAAAAGGGGTTTCCAAATTTATCGAAGGTAATTAGAAACGCTGTAAATGTTGTTATTAATTTATCTCGAACATTAGTATTACTTGGTATCTGAATTTTTCGTAAGATCGATAATTTAATTTAAATTTCGAGTACGAATTAATTTAAATTTCGCATATTTTTTCACACAAAGATCGTGCTTAGAGTTTCATTTCTTTTCTTTACGTATTGTCAGTGCATATGAAAGCACGTAATATTAACTTGTGTAAACTAAATTAAATACGAGCATTTCAAAATTACAATAGCAGAGATAAATTAATATCGATAAAGAAGATACACGTTGTTTAACAAGTAAACAATTATATACGCTAAAAATACTGGTACATTCTACCGAAATAACGTACTTTGAACAAAATATTACGAGCTGTCTCAGTTTTGTCTCAAGACAATAATGTAAAGTGCGTGGAACAAATATAGCGCGCTCGTAAATTAAAGCGTCAAGTGGCGGCACAGCTTGATGTTAGCGGCAGCCAGGACCGTATACGGCATTCTGTTTTAGGGTCTGTACAATAAGAGTACGCCAACTGATGACTAACGGTATTTCGTATACTACGAGAGAAATGAATAAAACGTCAATTAGCATTTTTAATATTTCGAGTTTCTTTCTGTGCGACGTGTCATAAATCTATGTGACCAACGCACACATCGATTGGCTAGCCGAATTTTAATCCTCTGTAAGCAATCTGCAATTAGAAACGAATTTTTATTTATATTGAAAAAAGTTTGAAGCATATCACTCGACGAACAATTGTACAATGTAGTAGAGACTTTGACGAGTACTCCAGAATTTTTGGACACTTTTTAAAATATTCCAGAATTTTTGGATACCTTGTAAAACACTCCAGAATTTTTTCAGATTTTTTGAAAGCTGAGAACGGTAAAAAAATTAGACTTAGACACAAATTACCCTGTTTTCTTAGAAAATGTGAGAAAATATGTAACGGAGGATTAAGAACGTAAAATTGATACAGAATGAAATAGATAACATAAACGGCAATTATTAAAGTAATAAAAATTGATACAGAATACAGGTGAAAACGAAGATCATTGTAAGAGTTTGAAGGGTGTATACGTTATTGTACGACCCCAACTGAAAGTTCAGGTCCTTATCCTCTCATATTTCGGTCAATTCCCTTGTTAGAACACTTCAGACATGTTTACTTTGACTACTCCTGACTGATTTTACGAGCTCGCTATATTTGTTCCGTGTATCATACACACATCTTGCAAGGCATGTACGCTAAACCGGGTCATCTGGTTAATTTTACGTTGAAACCTTTCTCTGCAGAGCAGGCCCTCCACTTAATTTATAATCCGACGACCACCAGCACAAATCTTAATTGGGAAATTTCAATCTGTGGCCCTCTCGAGCTCAGGACTCTGCTGTTTTAGGCATGTTGCAAGGGATGCGACACGAGTCGCTAATATAAAATTTCGTAATAACAACAAGCTAATCTAGCTCTACCCACACACAGACTCTGCAGTCTCTGATTTACTTGCAAAGGGAAGTGACTATACCGGGGTTATTTCCATCAAATGTTCGTTGATCCAATTTCAAACTTTGTCTGATAGCTCTAGAATGAAAATAAGATTTTAAATAGAAATATTTAAAATATGTTATAACAGTGATAAGTATTGGTCGAAATTTTCGAACATAGGTTTGCTTATTTTCACTCTGGATCAATCGGACGAAGTTTAAAGAAATTGGTAAAGAAATAGCATGATTATCGAACAAACAGTGGATTTGTTAAATTTTTCAAGAAATTATAAACGAGAAAGTAGTCTTTTTTTGCTTGAAAAGTTGTTATATTACTTATTTTTTTTATTTTGTTTCAGGTGGCGCATATGTTCAGAGGATGCAAGAGCGAGGATATGCCACCACATATTTATGCAATGGCGCAAGCAGCTTACAGAGGGATGTTAGCAACTCGGAGAGACCATTCTTTGGTTTTTCTTGGACGCAGCGGATCTGGCAAAACTACGAATTTCAAACATGCTCTTCATTATCTTGTATTAGCTGCAGGCACGGTTAATAAGGTGGATAAAAGTTATATTTCTTATAAAAATGTCTATTTTTATAGTTATGCACATGTTTTATAAATTATCTGTAATTAAATTTACTTTAATTGACTTGTTTCTAAAGGTCCTGACCATTGAGAAACTGAATGCCCTTTTCACAGTCCTGGAGGCTTTTGGTAATAGTAGGACACACATGAATTCCAATGCAACACGTTTTACACAACTCTTCAGTTTGGATTTTGATCACTCTGGACAAATAGCGTCTGCTTCCTTGCAGGTAATATCTTAGTTTCACTATTATAATATAGTAAAGGAAACTTTAATTCATGAAGTATTAACAATGAATTTTAATTATTACTTCAACCGTTTCTGTCTGTTCGCAAGGTGCTGCTTTTGGAAAAATCTAGGATAGGCAGAAGAGCGAATGGGGATCCAACTTTCCACGCAATTTACCGTTTGCTGGCAGGGGCAGAGGGTGCTCTTAGAAAGGAATTGCACCTTACCAATCTAGTCGCTGAGAACAATGCGTTCATTACACCTCTGCAGAAACATGAAGACAAGCAACGAGCCATGGTCGAGTTCAATCGAATCGTGGCTGCTTTTAGGATCCTCGGTGTTTCCGAGGCTGACGAGAAAGTAATCTGGCTAGTTTTAGCCGGTATATATCATTTAAGTTGTGCCGGCGCGGTTAAGGCTGGTACCAGCTCGCAAAGTCGTTGGCAATTCGCTAGAGTAGAATGTGCAGAGAAAGCTGCCACGTTATTAGGTACTACTGTCGAGGAATTGAGCAGAATAGTGTTTTCTTCGAATGGAGGTGGTGCTGGTACACCGAGCACTCCGAGACCTGCCTTACGTACACCTAGCCCTACGGAGCAGAATAAAGATGTTGTAGTTCTAGATGCTCTCGAAGGGCTTCTCATCGGACTGTATTCTGAAGTGTTCCATTGTGTAGCTGCTCTGATAAATAGGTATGTTCCTTTGAAATATAAATGAAATATATTGATAATAATTTCGTCGTCCTTTTTGTGTTGACAGATCCATATCATCTTCTTTACATACAGTGTCATCTTTGTTACTTTGTGACTCGCCAGGTTTTCAAAATCCAGCCTCTTGTGGTCGACAGACTGGAGCTTGTTTCGAAGACCTGTGTCATAATTATTTACAAGAACGATTGCAGCTGCTGTTTCATCATACGACCTTGGTGGCGCCAAAGGACAGGTAGTGTTTAATTAAAATAAATGAACTTATTAAGATATTCTTATTTCGTCAAATATTTTTCTTTTACCAATATTTCACTTTATTTCCAAAATTAGATAATATTTGAATACTTCGATAAGTGTTCTTTCTATTTCTTTCTATTTTATCACCGTGCGAGTTGTATAATAAAAATTTCATTCTGCCGCGGTGAACAAGTAGTGTAAAATTTTATAGTGAAATGAAAGGACAAAAATTCAAAAATTTCTAATATACTGCATACAACATTATTATTGAATTAATTCATATAATTGATATAATTTAAATGCAGGTACATCCAAGAAGGATTTGGTGATTACGAATTTTACTATGATGACGGTATTGGAACACCTCAGGCTTTAATTTCACTATTAGATCGTGGAAGTTCACAAAGTGCAACGATGTTGCGAACTAGCCAAAGTGACCTTAGCGGAAGTAGGCAGATAGAACGAAAGGGTCTTCTGTGGTTACTAGACGAAGAAACAGTATGTCCTGGAGGTAGCGACGAGACATTTTTGGATCGATTGTTTTCTCATTATGGAGATCGAGGTACTTAAATGTTTTTTTTTTTTTTTAAATATTATCAAATAGAAACTGTTTCTGAAAACCGAGTTCTAACTATTTTCAATTATTTCGCATCAAATATCTTGTTGGCGTGATTTGAATACATATGTATAATTTATAGATCTGTTAAAGTAGCATAACATATACACGTTCTTTATTTTAGAATATATCAATATTTTTAAAATATATAATAAGTTGTAATTATCTTTTTATCAAGCTATGTATAATAATTTGATATGTAGAATATTGGAAATTAAGTTATTGTACAATGGATGTATAATTGCAGTGAAAAGAAATATGTCAGTTCATATCACAGTTAAAATATAATATAAAGCAGATTGTCTTTATTAAGTCATTAAATGTTTCCCTCTACAAATATTTTCTGTTTTTCCTGAAAAAGGGAATTGTTCCTTATTAATTTTCATTTTTCTGTTAAATAGATCATCAAATACTCCTAAGAAAGGCACCTGGAAACAATCAATTTGTCTTGCAACACTTGTTGGGTACTAATCCTGTACTCTACACAGCTACAGGGTGGCTTAAAGCAACGCGAGAAAATCCTGTTACTAAAAGTGCCATTACAATACTTCAAGAAAGTACGAGGTACGTATTTTAAAAAATGAATTTTAACTACTACGCGTCATTATTTAAAGTTTTATCGTTCGCTCGCTCTCACGAACATAATGGAAATTATTTTAAATAAAAGTCTTTAATTTTAGTAATAAATGTATTTTATCTCGATACCAGGGAAGACGTCAGCATGCTGTTCGTTAGCGCTCGTGGAGCTGGAGTTTCTGGAACTTTATGCAGTTCCATGCCTGGCTTGGAAGGTTCACAGTCTTTAAGAAAAGCTTCTAGTATACGACGAACATTTACCGCTGTGAAAAGAAAAAATATCTGCCTCCAGGTGAAATTTACCGTTGTAAGTAGAACAATCGCAGTAGGTTGTTACCCTTTATCGATTGCTCGTTGAGACAAATTCAACGAACTTAATAAAAAATATTTTCTTTTATGAACACATGGAAATAGTATGAACACAATTGTTTATAGGATGGCCTGATTGAAACTTTACGAAGAACTCGAGTCAAATTCGTCCATTGTATATTGCCACAACACAATGCCGGGTGTACCGACAATAAAAGCTTATTGTCAGTAAAATCAAATCAAAGCGAAGACAACGTTATCAATGTACCTCTTCTACGATCACAGGTACAAATTTTTTCAATTTCGTAAGTGTAAGATATCATTATTTCCGGGAGACACGTCGAGAAAAAAAAGTTCATGTTTATTGCAGATTCGTGGATGTCAAATAATCGATGCTGTTCGGTTGCACAAATTCGGATTTCCTAAGCACATGGCCTTAGGTGAATTCAGAAGACGTTTCTCCTTACTGTCAAGTGATGTAAACACACGGCCAGGTAGTCCAGTAGCCGATGAACGTCGTGCTGTGGAAGATATGATGCTCTCCGTCGATGTCGACGTACCCTCGTATCGAGTTGGTCAAAGCCAAGTAAGTTGCAACAACTGTTTTATATTTTTTCTCTTCCAACATAGTTTGATTTTAAAGAAATATATAATTTTTAAAAAATAATGTTTGGTATACATTAGAAAATTCATTAGTCAAACTCTATAAGAATGAAATGACTTTTTCTCACTTTATCGCAATTTTCGAAAATTAGGGAAAAAATATATTTCTGAGATCCATTTTGTAATTTATACCGACGAGTGTTTGTCAAATAATATCACATCGCATAGAACAAATTTACGTTCGTATTGAAGGGTGATTTCATGCCTAACATGAATATATTCGAATTCTGCAACTGTCTATTAAATTTTATCCAAATCGGCGTATATCAGTTGAATAATATCCCTTTTATTAATACTTTAAATAAGCATGTAAAGTTGTCAAAGGAACACAAGCCTAAAAAATCAAAATATAACTCTAACGTGACTTTTAGTATTATCGATTGCAATATAACTTTGGTTCACTCGTCCTATTTAAAAGTAACCTTTTATAATAATATAACTGTCTAAGTTATCAGAGTGTCTCAGGCAGACGTTTCATAGGCAAGAGCGCTCTCCGTTGCTCACAAGCACTGCTGCGAGCAAAGCGATGAGCAAGTGACGTCGACAGTTGTGAATGAAGAGGGGAATAACGGCAATGGTGGAAGTGTAGTAGGCTCGTACATAGGCATGTGTTGGTACGTTCGTGAGGCGTTTCGTATCATCAGTTACTTTTGTAACGCGTGCCAGCCGTGCCCTATGAAAGAATTTATTAGCTGCATTTTCAAGGGTCGAGAAAAGTAACTGCATAGACGTACTCTCCGCGATTCTTGATGAATGAAACTCCGGTTGACGATTGTAAAATTGCACAAATGGTGCCATATCACGTACCTGCTGTGCGCAGCTCAGGTGTTTGCCCTCGGGGCGGCACAGGGGCAAGAGGGCTACTTTGAATCTTCCGCCATGCGGTACTATGTGATCCAATTCGTGTAGTTTTGTAAATGACAAAACAAGCAAAGTATATAAGGTAGAACAGTGTCAAAATTGAAATTGAATATTGTTGTTTATATTAATAATAATAATAATAAATATTTTTGGTCCATATTTGGAAAGATCGCTCTTTCACTCTTAGAATAATCTTAAAAGCAACTTAGTACTCTTAGCTAATCAAAAATATTATGGATGAAAAATGGTGTGTCAGCCTATTTTACTCGATGTTTCAACACTTTCACGTTTAATATCTTGCAAATCGTTCGACACACCGGACTACAAATTTTATTCAAGTTAGTTTCTCATGCCTACCGATAAATCTGCCGAGGTTGAAAAAAACTTAGTGACATAATGACAGAAAGTGGAATTGCACATATGCAATGGTAATCTTGTGTCGTCATATTAGGTTACGTTTAGGTTGGAAATGACTATTTAATGCTTTTTTTTTATAGTGGCAAGGTGTTATGGTTATTATTTCATAACGCGTGAACGTAACGTTCAAACTGTAAACTCGTTTTATACTTAATGTACATTTTTTATTAATTCTACAGATTTCAAGTTGCATTTTATATAATATTTTCACGAGAATGTTAATTATACTCTCAAATGTTGAAGTTAGTTTATATCCTTTTTTCATCTTTTACGCGAGTTATCAATTTATCCCAACCGTTTTACAATCGAATTCTCGATTATCGTTACAAAATTAATTCTCGAAGCAGCCAGAAGTTGACCGCGAAAGTGCAAAAGGGTCCAATATCCATGGAAAAAAAGCGACACGCGCTAGTGACTTTCTCGTGGCCCACATAGAAATCATTGCACTCTTCAGAACCTCTCCTTATTCGCAGAACTCGTGTTGCCCGAGGCCTTTTCATCGCGAAAGTGTTCCACCTTGCACGTATGTCTGTTTTTTTCTTTTTATTAACCCATCTGTTTTACTTGGAGGCCACGCGCAGTCTAATTTGTTGTGCGCAACAAATTCGAACCGATGAATTAACACGTTCACTGCGTCCGCTTTTTTTTTTTTTTTTTTTTTTTGAAAACTTTCCTATTTGGCGGGGTACGGAGCAACAGTGTCTCGTAGATATTTCGATGGCATCTATTGGACTTTCTTATTTGGTAATACATTTCTTCGCTACACTTTGTTATTTTACCCTACAAAGGCCTCGATCGGCGCCTATTACGGTGAAAGTAGTGGAAAAATGACGGAAATATCAGCTTAGCCGTAGGGAAGGTACAGTGAAAAATGAGCCGCACAGGTTGAAGGTACGATACGGGGCATCCTCGTAACGCAGTGAACGCGTTAATGGACACGGAAGCTGAAAGAATCGTGCCACTGTGAAATCTTTGATAATAGGAGCAAGGAGATCCTTCGACCAACGTGACGTTTAGATCATAATGACACTATTGAAAAGTATCCACTAACATAATCCATAATTTAATTAAATCTACGAAAATTATGATTGTTGTAAAATTTATAATGAAGTGAAGTACTTAAAACAAATTTTTTACATAAAAGAATGCAAGGGTTGTAAAATGTATAATATAAAGAGAAGTATATTATTTTCACGCATAATTTTCTTTCTTAGGACACATAACTTAAATAACCTTGTAACATATAATCAAAGAATTGTTTAAGACAGTTACAATATCTAATCAAGTTATCCAATCACGCGTAAAATATTAATTACATGAAATGAACGAATCGTAAATACTTAATATCGAAAATGTAATCGATAACAGATACACAGAACTGTTTGAATAGGGTTACTTATGTTTAAATGCACAGCTAGGAGTCTCGACTCCCGAAATATCCGGAGTAAGATTTCTACGGCGGAAGTGTGACCGTTGATCGTGCCTGCGATTCGTACGTGTCTAGCACCACGAGTGATTTGCTTATTTGATTCTACTGATCGATAACCGACGCCATAAATAGACTCGCGAACTAATTCATTTGTGACGTAATAATACTTGGTATTAATATTAAAAAAAAAAAAGAAATTAATTTTTCATCTCGCAACTGTTGCATTCCTTTTCCCATTCTTTTCGTTCGATTAATCGCTCGAAACTCTGTCCGTTTGGCAGAGTTAACGGTTACTGTATAAATTGGTCTTCCGCGTGATGTTGATGCTTGTCGCGCGCTCGGAAATCCATCCAAGCCTGATAATGGAGAAACGCGACGAGTTTTAATTTAACTGGCTAACGCGCTAGGTCAGGTTCGCACGACAAACGCGGTAACTTGCCAGACCGTGATCGGGGGATCCCGGAACCACTAGCGCCGCCCTGTCTTAATCTCTGTCAACTATCCCATCGCAGGGCGAACAACCGTAAAATTGCACGCCCGTTTAACGCGATCTACATACATTAATGCTTTAACCGTTAAGTCAAATTTGATCTCGAGACCACGCATTATTTGCACAATTACCTACGAACAGTGCAAAAAGTGTTTGAAATCGAAATAGTGGACTGGGGATGTTTTTATTTGGTTCAAATACATTTTACAGGGACTTGAGTGTTATATTAACTTCCGCTTCTTCTTCTTTTTTTTTTTTTAGGTGAATTTATGTATGAGACTTTCACTATTGAAATTCTTTAAGCGTGTTATGTAAAAAAGCTTTAGAATGATTTGTAGACGGTGTAATTTTAATTCGAAGTTTATCAATCGGTTATAATCTCTTCCATATGTAACAATGTATAATTTTAAATTATTATTATTGGTTCGAGAAATTTTTCGTTTCAAATATTTGTTTTTAAATAATACACGAATTAAATGTAGGAAACACGTAAATGACATTCTAAGGTATTGCAACGTCATTTGGTAATTTATATGTGTAACGTGTTTAATGTGAGTAACTAGGAAAGACGTTGTGCTTTAATGTAAAATGGAAAGTTGTATGACTAACACATTTACACGCGAGTGTTTCGCGATTGCTGTACTTTGGGGGAAGTTATAGCGAGATGACGATCGTGTGGCTCGGTGGGGTGATGTTTGGTAGGGTTCGAGAACAGATGGCGGTGCATGGGGAGTCCCCCCCAGTCGGTTGACCAGATTGGATCTGAACTTTTGAGGAATGGAAATATAGAGTCTGGGAAGGAAAATGAAAAAAAGACGAATATTTCTTTATTAAGAGTGACTAAAGTTGTGTATAAAAATTTCATTTAGTTGAAAGCATCGAAATTGTGCATAGGAACAATCTGTGGTATTCCCCGATTTTCTTAGATAAATCTGGAACAAAGGTTTCCTTACTAAAGGTGACTATAGTTGTGTCTAAAAATTTCATATGGTTGAAAGCATCGAAATTGTGCATAGGAACAATCCTGCGGTATTCCCCGATTTTCTCAACTTGTTAACAACCGCATCGCTAATGGTAGAAACAATAAGAGCCCGTATTACAATGTTTCTGAACTGTTCCCCAACAGAGTGGCGAATGAAAGGAGAATAGAAAATAGAGATAAACATGCATAATGTATTAAACGAACCTCGTTAAAGTAGTGTCTCATATAAGTGTTCACCAGTTAAAATAGCGCGGATGTGTTTGATTCGCATGAAATGAATCTTGTGATTTCATAATGCGGCCAAGGCTCTTTTCTCTTGCGATACTCTCCCGTATCTTCTCCTCCCATGTCGTCTCCTTTCTCCAGTTTGTCAGTAGGCCAACGAACATTCCCGTCAACAGCTTTCCAACGCGTTCTCGACATGGCTTCCAATTTCTCGATGCAGCTGCCATCTGCGTGAGATCTATCGATCGGGCTAAACACACCGGTCTTTTCTATGCGTACGGGAGGAACGGCCCCGCGACCTCGCTTTCGCGAGACCCGCGAAATTTCTGTCGCCGCGACATGTGTGTACATACGTGCCTCGTTTTATTTTCACGTTCTTCGATAAAATCACGCAACATATGTGCTTATTACGCTCTATTATACTATGGAGAAAAATGTACGACGTGCGCCATTTTAAAAACGACCTTAATGCTTCCACTAGCAATAAGGCAGATTTCAGTATCCTCTGTCGACTTCTTT